AAAAAATGCATGGAAAACTTAGCCATTGTTTGTGGACATCAGAAAAGTTGGGGGAAACTCACTTATTCGGAGCTGAATTCTTATGCATTGCCACAAAGGAGTGAGATGGCATTTCTTTCATAATAAAAATGTGTGCTACAGAGATTAATGAGACAGCCTGTGTTTAGAAGTATGTTGTTAACTCTTAAAACTCTAAAAACATAAATGACTTTTTGATTTTTTTAATGAAAAAGAGACTTTAAGAAAATCAGCAATATCCCTTTGTAATAACTGAATTTATTCATATTTATTTGGAAAATGTTTATTTATTTGACTTCAACTTGTATTTTTTAAATACTAATAAAAATTAAAGTCGATTCATCAACTCTGTTTAGATGTCTGTATTTAGCCCTTTGTACTAAATTAAAATTTTGCATACTGTTTTTCTTTTCTCTTCAAAGGAATTTATCACGTCCATGGCAACAAGGCAAAAATGGCAAGACTGTGTCTAGCTCTGGAAAACAGAAGGCATTTAGTAGATCTGTCCCAATTTACTTCACATGACATCTGTGAAGTGTTAAAATTATACCTTCAACAGGTTAAATTTTTATTCTGAACCTATTGTCAAATAAAAAGAGAAAAAAATATTTTATATTTCATATAAATATTGCCCCCCAATTATTATAAGATTTTATAATGATGTACTTTGATGTGAATATATTTCATGCAGTATTCTGGCCACTCCATGAGCTCTGTCAGTTGTGAGCACTTTAGTTCTTTGAACTTTTCTTGATTTATATTGTCCATTTCCCCACCCACCCTTTGTCTTTGTAATTTGTACTTGAAGCTCTTGTTTGGTGATGTGTGTGTGTGTGTGTGTGTGTTTGTGTGTGTGTGTATGTGTGTGTGCGCACACATACACAACACACATATAAAAATATTTATAAATTTGTGTTTTGTAGTCCTGGGAATTAAAAATTTAGGGCTTTGTACTTGCTTGGAAAGCATACATATTCTCTATAGTTTCCTTACCTTTTCTGTATTGTTCTTTTTTTTCTTCAAAATCTAAGACATTTCCTTGTCTTTTTCTTCTGGACTATCGTAAATTACTCCATTTGTGAGATCATGTTTTAATTTTCAAAAAGTCTGATTTTCTATTCCTTTGGTAACATTTTTTAAAAGATTATATTATGCTCTTTTATTGTGGATATTCATAGATTTTTCTTGTTAAGGGTTCTTTTCTCTATTTAGCCTCTAACCTCTGTAGAAATACAATGTCACCCTCATATATAACATTAAGTTTTCTATAGCAATACAAAATTTAAAAATTAGGTGAAGTGAATTTTAATATATCATTTACTCTTGAGAAAAAAATAGTAAAATAAATCCATCTAGGAAATAAGTACTATGCAAAAATGTAAACTCTTATGTTAAAAACCTTTTTACTTTTATGTCATTTTCAAGTTTAAGGTATCTTAAAACAAAATGTTTCAAATTATTTTATTGAATTCAAGACAACTACTGAATAGTTTTATTATATTAAGATTGTTGTCATCCTGGGGATGTGGCTCAGTGGTAGAGTGCTTGTCTAGTATGTATGGTGTCCTGGGTTTGATTCCCCAGTACCAACAACAACAACAACAACAAAAATTGATTGTTCTCAATACTGAATTTGTCATTGTAGGCTTTCATTAACAGAAACCAGTATTTATTATGCTCTGTCAATAGACTTTTGCACAGAAACTAGAGAGAGCTATCAAGTTTTTGAAATTAATATAACATTCTTTTCTTCTTGAAAGTTCTCATAAATATATCCAACAATTTCTGTTTTGAAAATATAAGTCATTTTATATAACAGGAAACTGAACTTGAGGCTAATTTTGCAATACTGTATTTAATGAAATAAATTTCTAATTGCTCTGTGTTTTTTCCAGTCTATGCATCATTAGCACAAGTCAGTTGTCTTTAATAGACTATTGGCATTCATAACATTTGAAAACATATTGATACATCAGTGAAAAAATAATATCACAGTTTGAACATCTGTGCTTCATTTATGAACATATATGGTAGAAATGTTGATAATTCTACATTTATGAAGCACTTCTGAAATATATATTGAATAAGGTATTAAGAAGGCAGTCATAGGCCGGGTGCAGTTGTGCACGCCTGTAATCCCAGCAGCTCAGGATGCTGAGGCAGGAGGATTGCAAGTTCAAAGCCAGCTTCAGCAAAAGAGAGGTACTAAGCAACTCTGGGAGAACCTGTCTCTAAATAAAATACAAAACATAGGGCTGGCTCAGTGGTTTAGTGCCCATGAGTTCAAATCTCAGTACCAAAAAAAAAAAAGAAGGTCATAGTACATGGTGAGGACGTTAATTATCCACAGCCTGTTCAGTATGTATTGTTCCTGAATATATACCACAATTTAAAGATACTTTTCCATTTTCACTTTGGTAGAAATTTAAGATTATATAAGTTTTTTTCTAACTCTGGATTTCTATTCTTGAAGAATACTTAATGAACTCAAAAGAAAATTCTGTTGGTAATCATAATTTTTCTCTATTCAAATTGAAAGTTATCTTTATAGATGAAAAAAGAAAAAAATCAATGCTTTTATAATTTTACCTAATTGGGCATCAATATTATATGAAAATTTTTTAAAAAACTTGAATTTTTATACATAGGCATTTGCATTATGATCTTGCATTGCATAATGAAGTTGTATATTTGTTAAATATATCTGAACCAACTACAAACCATAAAGTGTTTCAAGAAAACATCAATTGACCAGGATTGTGTCTCACAGCTGAAAGACAATACTGGCCATTCTCATTGGTCAGTTCTGGAAGTCCTTTCCAAGGGGATCTGAAAAATAGAAAGGATTTTTTATGAGACATAATCTAACAATTTTAACAATATAGTTAATACCTCATTTTTTTGCCTTTTAGTACAGAAACAATCACTTGTAACAAAATAAACTAGAATATCCTAAAGATGTCCTTTTTCCTATTCTATTCTTAGGATTTATAATTTTCAAGTACAAAGGATCCTTTTATCCATTAGAAATATGATAAATCCTCACCGTTCCAGGCAATATACAAATATTCTTTGATGTTTAATTTCATAATTTTAGAATAAGTTATAAGACTCAAATTGTAATTATGTAGTTAGTATGTGTGATTATTGTTTTTGTGGTGTTGGGAATTGACTCCATGGCCTCATACATGCTAGGCAAGCACTCTACATTTGAGTTACATCCCCATGTGTCATCTTGATATAAGTGTAAAACTAAATAAAATAATAAACACTAGGAATTGTCACTGGGAAAAAATGACAATTTTCATTTTACTAAATAACAACTTTATATAGCATATACTTATGTTCTAATATTTGGTAATTTATATACATTACCTCATTTAATGCTCACTGTAACCCTATGATACAGGAGTTAGAATTACTCCTTACTTATACAGAATTAAGAGACATTAATAAAGCTTAAAAAATGTGTTCTAGGCCTCACTAGCAGAACACAGAACTATTATTGTATCTAATTTATTCTTAGTTTCAAAATATAAAGTGAATTTCAAAAAAAATGAAAATACAGAAATCTGTAATATTTCTTTTTCTAATTTTTTTTTAGTTGTAGATAGAAAACATCTATTTGTTTTTTTAATGTAGTGCTGAGAATTGAACCCAGGGCCTCGCACATGCTAAGTGAGAACTTTCCAGCTAATCCACAACTCCAGCCCATAATGTTTCTTTCTTAAGTGGGGTTGTGAGAATATATTAATTTCCTTATTTTTCATTGGAACTCAGCTGTGTTACAAATATTCTTCTGTACATAGGAAATATTTCATAATTAAAATAGGAAAATATTTCCATGAGATGAAGATGAGATATTTTTGATAGGTATTATCAAAGAAGCTAGGTATTATGTTTATTTGTTAATAAAGGTATATATACATGAATATATACCTTTATTTATTTTTATTTTTTATGTAGTGCTTAGGAATGAACTCAGTGCCTCACATGTGCTAGACAAGCCCTCTACCACTGAGCTATGACCCTAGCCTGGTATTATATTCCTTAAAAAAATTTATCAAATAGAAATGTAAAATATAGAAAAATTATTTAAATGTCTCCAAGTATTAAAGTTACTTCAGAGTGAAATGCCAAATCTCTGAAGTTGAATAGTTGGGTAATCTGTAAGTGGTTGAACTATATCGCCCACATTCATGATTAGTTATTAGCAGATATGATTAATTAAGATGAGGTTATACTGGGTTAAGGTGGGCTCTAATCTAATATGACTGGCATCCTTATACAGGAGAAATTTGGACACCAACATGCACAATAAGTAATGTCCAGTGAAGACTTAAGGTTTGCTGTCACAGCCCTAATGCCTTCAGAGAGAGAATGGCCCTGACCATGCCTTGATTTCAGATTATTGGCTGCAGAAATTGAGACAATATCCTGTTGTGTAACAGCTTCTGTGAAGTCATTCAGTTTGTGGTGCTTTGTTATGGCAGCCCTGGCCATAACAAAATCCTACTGATATTATGAAACAAAACAAGGTTATAAAATTATTAAAATTATAATATTATAAAACTATGCTGCTCACAATTAAATGTGGACACTAGTACATGGAACATACACACAGTAGTATAAAGAAGTCTCCTTTCCTTAAAAAATCATCCCTAAATTAAATGGTTGGGTTATGACAGCCTTAACCCAAACAGTTAATTAATCTCCTGACAGGGACTAACTGGTAACTGTAGGCAGGGAGGGTGTACCTGGAGGAGGTTGGTCACTGGGAATGTGACTTTGGGATATATATTTTGTCCTTGAGGAGTAGAGCTCTTTCTCTGCTTCCTGCTGTGATGTCTTGAACTGTTTTCTCCACCACACCCTTTTGCCCTGATATTCAGCCTCACCTCAAACCCTAAGGAATGGAGTTGAGCCACAAGGAATAGAGCCAGCTGACTATGGACTAAGACCTATGAAACAGTGAGCCCGCAAATAAACTTTTTCTCCTCTCTGCTGTTCTTGTGAGGTATTTTTGGTCACAGCAGAGAAAAAGCTGACTAAGATGGATTACAAGTACTTCAAAGCAAGATGTCAGCACTCAAGAGGTATAAGGTAAGAGGTCACAACAGGTGTGGCGGTGGTTGAGAGTAATCTGAATTCATGTGATGTAAGGAAGGCACTTGTCTGTAGAGTTTGCCTAGTATGGAGTGTAAGTCAATATGGGAAGAATATTTATGTCTCAGGACATCTGTTCAGGGGATATCAGAGCCAGAGAAGGCACAGATAGTTTGAAAATATAAGGATGGAAAAATATATGTTGGTAACAAATAAAAGAAATATGGAGCGCTATATTAATATTAAAGAAAGTAGACCTTGGAGCAGAGAAGTATCAGTGATAAGGAAGGTGATTTCATAAATGTTTATACACTTAATAACAGTGTTTCAAACACCTGGAGCAAAAACATATACAACAGCACAGAGAAAAAGTACAGCAGGATATTGTAATAATCCTTTGTCAGTAATTAATAGAACAAAGAGATGGAAATCCCCTAAGGAATGTAAACTTCAACCAACTTCAACCAACTGACATTTCTAGACCACTCCACCTAAGGATCTCAGAATATATATTCTTTGCAACTGAAAACAGATGAATTACCTAGACAGAAAACTCTTAATCATAACTACTAATAAGTTTATAAGGATTTGAGTCACACAGAGTATATTCCTTCACTACAATAAACACAATTTAAAAAAAAAAACAATAATAGAAATGGCTCTGGAAAATTCATGAATATTTGAAAACTAAATAATGAATTTCTAAATAACTTATGAGTGAAATATGAAATCGAAAGAGAAAACAAAGTACTTCAACCAAACTTGGAATAGAACCACCATTGGACCCAGTTATCCCACTCCTCTGTATATACCCAAAGGACCTGAAAAACAGCATACTACAGTGATATAGCCACCCCAATGTTTACAGCAGCTCAATCCACAATAGTGAAGCTATGGAACTAACCCAGGTGCCCTTCAAGAAAAGGTGGTATATATACACATGGAATATTATTCACCATAAAAAAGAATAAAATTAATGCATTTGCCAGGTAAATTGATTGAGCTGGATTTCATGCTAAGTGAAATGGATTTTATGCTAAATGAAACAAATGAATCCCCCCAAAAAACAAAGTCTGAATGTTCTCTCTGATAAGCTAACACACAGTAAGTGGTGGGGGAATAGAAAGTCATTGGATTAGACAAAGGTGAATGAAGGCAAGTCAAGGAGGGTGGAAATAGGAAAGACAGAAGACATTCCTTTTCTATGTTCATATATGAATGCACAACCAGTGTAACTCCACATAATACACAACTAAAAGAATCGGGAGTTATACTCCATGTATGTATAATATGTCAAAATACATTCTACTGATATATAAAACTAAAAAAAATAAAATTTTTTAAGAAAAGAAAGTACTTCAACTAAATGAAAATAAGTATACAACATATCAGAATTTGTGGAATATGGTAAACTGATACTTAAGGGGAAATATAGAGCACTAAACACCTGTATTAGAAAGGACAAGAGGCAACCAGGGTACACATCTGTATCCCAAGCTACATAGGATGCTATGGTAGGAAAATCAAAAGTTTAAAGCCTGCCTGGGCAGGGGATGTAGTTCACTGGTAGAGTGCTTGCCAGACATGTGTGTGGCCCCGAGTTCAGAAATTAGTATTGCAAAGCAAAAACACTAACAAGAAATAAACAAACAAACAAAATCCCTCGGATTTTTAGAGAATGAGCATATTTAGGTGCAGGAAATAAAAGCCAGAGAAAGAGTAAACAGATTTACTAGTGCAGTTAAGAGCACAGCCTGGAGGACCTGACTGCCTGGATCTTAGTAAAAGCTAAAGTAGATTACTTGCTGTTTGACTTTGTCCAAGTTACTTCACCTTCTTAACTTTGTTTATAAAATGAAGATAATTAATGATAGCTCATATGTGTCTTATTATCTTGTCTATGTAACATATGTTAATATATCAGTCCTTGAAACAATCCAACCTCCAAAGATCCCAACTCACTCCATACAGATGAGAAAACCAAGCTTTATAGAAGTTAAACAACTTCCTCATGGTCACACAGTGAGTAAGTGGACAGTGGATAACAACAGTAATAAGTGGTGGTGGTGGAGATGATGATGATGGTAATAGTAGAAATTTTATATAGTTTTTTTGATTAAATTAGTCATTTTACACACATACATTTAGAATAATGCCTACAACATAGTTAAGTGATCAATGAATATCATTTGTTGTTATTACCATTAGTTCTACCATGTAAACAAGGGAAACCTAATACTGTTGGTACCATCAGGTTTTTCATGATAAAAAGGAAAGCAATAGCCAGCTCAAAGTAGAGAACTGAAAGGAAGTCATGGGTTCTGGAAACCAGGAGAGATCTTGTTGACTGGCTTTGCCAGAATGGTGAGGGCAAAAGCCAGATGAAGGTGGTAATGACTAAGTGGGTAGTCAAAATGGAGAAAGAAAAAAGAGGTTACTCCTGAATCGGACATGGGCTGGTAAGAGACAGGACCAGGTTTGAGTTAAAAACTATAAGAAGGGATTCTGTTTTAGAATGGGCTGACAGATATCTCTGTAGCTTCAGTAGGAAAGATACAGTGGAATACCAAGAGAAGATAATTAATTACTGGAACAACGTCTCATAACAGGTCTGAAGTGATGAGATGACAGGTAAAAGTAGAATGAGCCCATGCATGCCAGATAGTCTTACATTTTTTTTAACAGACAAAAGGGAAGAAAGAGAAAATAAATACAAAACCCCCAGAAATAGTACAGGGCAATGACAGAGTTGGGCTTTCTGTGAGTATATTTAAGCTAACGAAAACCAATTTTCATGCAATGTTTGCTGGATACATTGCAGTCCCTTAGGTTCTTGAAAGAGAGGTGATACAGTTTATGTCAATTATGCATAATTAGTCTGACCAGTAAGATGAAGGCATAATCTAGAATTTGAGAAATTAAGATAGACTTGATAAAATTTGTACCATTTTAGAAAAATATGTAACTCTGACACTGTTATTCTGCCAATAATTAGGACAGAGGAGGTGAGAAACTGTTTTTTGAAATAAGTCAAAAGGCCAATTCCAATATTTTAACTATAATTGGAACATTTTTGAAAATTGTTTTATATATATATCAACTAGTTCAAAAGGCCTGATCCAAATATTTTTATTTTTTCTATTTATTCTTTACTAACTACATTCTAAAAATATGAGCTAAATTTTGAAAATCAAAGACTATTCCATATGTTCAAATCATACAATATCAAATCCTTAGCTTTAAGTAACTTACTACCTAAAGTAATAAAAGGGAAGGTAAAATTTCCATGATGGACTCTGCCATGTTAAAAAAGAAATGTTTCAAGATTCATTGAGATACCTAGAGCACAGAGAAATGAATCCTAAGGAAACCCAACTTACCTAATATCTAATGAACTGAGGACACACAGTTATAGACATTACATGCCCATGATAAGTTACCTCTCAAGATGAACATAATATTGAGAAAGAACATTTTTAACCAAAAACATTGTCTTTGCACTACACTCTGGACCCATCAATTTGGAAAAATATAACTTTGCACGAAGAAAATATCCAACAGGCCACAGCCATTCCTGAAGAAAAAAGATAATTTAAAAGTAAAGGAAAGAAAAAGAACTGTGAATATCTAAAACTATTTGAAAAATAACTGAAAACTCAGAGAAAAATGAAATTCTTACAGGTCCTTGGTGATAATTGAAACCTCTAGCAACATTGAAGTTGTCATTGTCTAAGGCATTGTCATATATTCCACAGTAAACCATATCACTGTAAAATGATTGGAACTTTAGTTAAATAATGAAGCTCAGATATCATAGAAAGCATTAAAAACATGTTAATAGCAATGTTAAGAGAAATAATCATGTTATCTTCCAATTCATAGAATAAGCTCAGCATTAAAACATAATTTAATCTTAAATAAGAATATAATGTGTCCAGAGGACTTTAGCAAAGTGTTTAGGAATGATTAACAAATACTGACTAATATAAAAATATTAAATATTCAGGTATCTTGCCTTCCAGGAGTTAGCTTGACACTAACCATTGGTTTAAAATCAATTTTTTCAAAAGGTCTCTAATATATGGATAATAATTGAAATGGCCATATAATAAGTTGAATTACTAAATATTATAGATAAGGTTTTACTGGTTATAGATTATAAATGTTCTATTTGATTCTTCTCCATGAAGTTATTTTAAAATTATATTTTGCATATTATCAGACTACAAATAGCAATTCAACATACATTCTGATAGTATGTAAAATTTATAACATACTTATTCAGCAAACAATATTACAAAATTATTGTAACAGATAATACAAGGGCTATGTATACTTGATTTAATTTAAATACAAAGGATTTTTTTAAAGTAAGATAGATGTGGCCACATCTATCTTTGTGTTTTAGTTTTGATCAGTACTTCTTAACTACTTTGAAAATATGAGAATCTCAGAATGTAGTTAAGATAAAACATATAAAATTTTGCATCTCGTGATGGAAATGAGTACATAGTAAAGTAGGAAAATTCTACAAAGGTGAGGTTCTGTCATCAATTCATACAGAAAGCAAGTTGATAACAAGTATCAACTTTTAAAGAAAAATCATAAAGGAAAAACAGAAGGGTTGTTAGAAACTAAAAAAAAAAACAAAGTTGGAAAGGACAAGAAATACATGATGACATAAACACACAACTGTAAAATGAAAATGAAATCATTTATGGATATAAGTAAAAAGAGTAGTATAATTACAAGGAAAGATGGAGAAGACTAATATTGAGAATAGAATTAAATCATCATCTGTCATCACTATATGTGAATAATACCAAATACTTAAAATATCATAAAACAGCAGCATATACTTTTTTTTAGAAATGTGGAAATAGATATTAGTAGGAACAATATAGAAAATAATGACCACCTTTGAGGAGTAGAATCAAGGTGAAGAAAGGAAGCAAGGGAATAAATTTTTTTTCTTTTTGTGGTTCTGGGGATTGACCCCATGTAATGTTTTGCATAAATTCTCCTAGGTATATGCACATATAGTCCAAATTATACAAAAATGCACAGATAGATCAGATGATAATGATGCTTATTTCTAGATAAAGGGGTTTAAAGTAATTTTATGTTTTTCTTTATGTATATCTGTAACTTCTAATGTTTATAATAATCATTTGCTGCCAGTAAAATGCACATCAGAAAATATTCATGACATTAGTTTTATAAACTAAAACTCTAATTGATTATTGAATACAGAATAAGAGGCATTCTGAGTACTCATGCTTAATGTAGGTACAAATGAGGCTTTTAAAACTCAGTCTGAATGAAATTTTGGATATGTTATTGGTAAGAAAAATTAATAGCTGGTGTTAATATATTTGTATTAAATATAATACTAACAACATTCTTAATACTTAGATTCCAACTTACTCTGGATCTAAAGTTTTCATACCAAGGGGACCAAGTAATTTCTTTTCTGTGATCTCCAATGCTCTCCATGCTTTTTCTGTAGTAAACAGCTCAGGGGCCTAATGAATGTCACAAACAAATATACAACTTTTTCACATCACAGAAGAATTACTTTCCACCTACATATACAAATCATCATCTTGGAAAAGAATGAATATTATTTAAAAATACAGTGTGGTCAGAATTTAAGAGTAGATGCCTAACCAGATTTAATTCCATGAGGCTAACTTGGAAGCACTCTTCTA